ATGCGTTTGAGTGTGTGTGTGTGTGTGTGTGAGTGTACACATGGCAAACGCTGTATAATCATGAACGTTATGGTGATATAACACCTAAACATAGGTCGCGGCGCTTTCTCTCTATTATGTGCCGACGATGTGAAGTTAACTAGGCTGTGTTACGTTCCGAGTTAAATGATAAATGTACGAAACATGCATCGTACTAGCTCTAGTACTATAGCCCGCGGATAGCTGCCGCAGGCACGAATTGCAGGCACGCAGGCACCCTGCGGCACCTATCCGCGGGCTATAGTACTAGAGCTAGCATCGTACATGCTCTATATTTGCATACACCATACGATTGATGGAAGTTCCACTGAGTTGCGCTTGTATGAAATCGCCCTTAGCTTCCATATGTTCAGGAGGGCTAAATAAGTACATCGTCCTCGTGACTACAGTTAGTGAGTGACTTCCTCTATCATCTTTCGGCCAGATTGATAATGAATGGAGAATTTAACTTGTTGATAAACGCGTCGAAATGGGTAGACTGGGAGAAGTCGACATTCGCGGCATGTAGCGTTGTACCATTTGAGTTGGTGGTAAATGTGGCTTGGGCGTGGTGCGACGTTTTGAATGGGACGGTCCAAATAATGAAATATGGCACGGGCGTAATTAGGCTCGGGCTAAACTCGTCCGTGTGAACGCGCCTACAAATAATGTAGTAATATGAAGTTAGGGTTAACGTATCCCTAACGTAACGTAACCCTAACCCTTCACGACATTAATTGCAGTTGGGACTTACTCAGCTGGCAATTGCTCCTAATTGAGCATGACCCTAGATCGTAGATTTTCGGTAATGAGCACAGCATCTCGTGGCGCAATGATGCGTGTATGCGAGTTGCGTGATCATTGTGAAAGTGTAAAGCGTAACCACTGCGAATGTAAATGTTTGGCATTAGGAAAGTACTTGGAATGTGGCAAGGGAATTAATTTGCAGTTTTCTGAACTGCTAATCGTTTTCTGTTTTGCTATGTGCGTTGTTGATGTTGACTACCTGTGATTGTGAAATATTTCATTGCAGAGACATAACTGATGGCATGCTGTTCCTTGTCTACTGCAAGGACGAGAGGAAAGCCCTGCAACTGTTCCTCATGAAGGACTGCAGATGGGTAGGCATGGTCATCTGCATATACGAACCCGAATTTGAGTTTGTCGTTGCTGTATTGGCAGCTCTTAGTACAGAGCAACCATTGCTACCACTG